ACAGAAACTATCTGAAAACAATTAGAAAACACTTCTCATACAAATAAAGGCAGATCTAAACAAATGGAGAAATATTAATTGCTCATGGATAGGCCAAATCAATAAAATAAAAATTATTATTCTATCTAAATTAATATACTTATTCAGTGCCAAATCAATCAAACTACCAAAGACTTATCTTATTATATTTATAGTTCTACAAAAATAATAACAAAATTCATCTGGAAGAACAAAAGGTCATGAATATCAAGGAAATCAATGTGGAAAAAAGTGAAGGAAAGTTGACCTAGCAATACCAGATTTCAAACTATGCTATAAAGTGATAATCATCAAAACAATTTGTTAATAGATAATAAATAGAGTGGTTGAAGACAATTCCAAAAGACTCATGATGAAAAATGCTATCCATATTCAGAGAAAGAACTATGGAGTCTGAATGCATATTGAAGTTCACTATTTTCAATTTTTTTGTTGGTTTTTTCTTTCTTCTGGTTTTTCCCTTTTGCTCCTATTCTTCTTTCACAACATGACTAATGTGGAAATATGTTTAACATGATAGTACATGTATAACCTATATCAAATTGCTTGTTGTCTTAGGGAGGGGAAGATGGGAGGGAGAAAAATTTGGAACTCACAATCTTATAAAAGTGTATGTTGAAAAATATCTTTACATGTAATTAGAAAAAAGTACGATTAAGAAGGAGGGGAAATACAGTGGTTGATCAGTAGGAAAAATTAGGTGCATAATAAACAAAAGTAAATGACCATAGTAATCTAATATTTGATAAACCCAAAGATCCAAGTTTTTGGAACAAAAACTCACTATTTGACAAAACTTCTGGGAAAACTGAATAACAAATTTGGCAGAAATTAGACACAAACCACTATCTCACATTATATACCAAGATAAGGTCAAAATGGATACATGATTTAGGCATAAAGAGTATTATCAAAAGCAAATTAAGGAAACATGGGAAAAATTATCTGTCAGATCTATGGATAAGGGAAGAGTTTAAGGCCAAACAAGAGCTAAGGAGGATCATAGGAGGTAAAATGGATACTTTTGATTATATAAAATTAAAAAGATTTTGCACAAACAAAACCAATGTAACCAAAATTACAAAGCAGGAAACTGTGATAAAAAATTTAAGCAATTTTTTTCTGATAAAGATCTCATTTCTCAAATATATGTAATGGAAATAAATGTATAAAAATAAAAGCTATTATCCAATTGGTAAATAATCAAAAGATATGAACAGGCAGTTTTCAGAAGAAATCAAAACTACTAATAGTTCCATGAAAACATGCTCTAAATTACTAATAATTAGAGAAATGCACATTAAAACAATTCTTAGATACCACCTCATACCTATCAGATTGTCTAACATGACAGAAAATGCAAATATCAAATGCTGGAGTGGATGTGGAAAAATAGATACACTAATGCACTATAAATGTCCACCAAATAGTCTAAACATTCTGGAGAACAATTTGGAACTGTGCCCAAAAAGTCATAAAACTGCATAGAAATACCAATACTAGGTCTGTATCCCAAAGAGAACAAAGAAAAAGGAAAAGGACCTACATGTACAAAAATATTTATGGCAGCTCTTTTTGAGGTGGCAAAGAATTAGACATTGAGGAGGTGCCCAACAATTGGGATATATGATTGTGACAGAAAACCATCATGCTGTAAGAAATTATGAAGAGGATGGTTTCAGGAAAATCTGGGAAGACAACTTATATGAACTGATAAAAAGTGAAGTGAGCAGAACCAGGACAACATTGTACACAGTAACAGCAATAATGTAATGATTACCAACTGTGAAAGATTTAGCTACTCTGATCAGTACAATAACTCACAACAATTCCAAAGGATTCATGATGAAAAATGTGGTCCACATCCAGAGAGAGAGAGAACTGATGAATGCTGAGTGCAGATTTAAGCATATTTTTTCAGTTTATTTTTCTTTTTTTCTATTGCAATAAGGTTAATATGGAAATATGCTCTGAATGACTTTACATGGATAACGGTATCATTTCTTTCTCTATGGGTAGGGTAAGGGCTAGAGGAAGGAAAAAGAATTTGGAACTCAAGATCAAAATTTAATCTTAAAAATTATTTTAAAAACCAAAAAATAAAATAAAACAGCTACTAGTCAGAGTGATACTGTAAATATAGTATAGTTTACCTAGATTTCAGCAAAGCATTTGACAAATTCTTTCATACTATCTTTGTGGGAAAGATGGAGTGACAAGGTACAGATGATAGCACAATAAGGTAGATTTGCAACTTGTTGAATGTTACTAATTGCTCAGTGTCAATTTGGATGAAGGTCTCTAGTCCAGTACTCTAGTGATCTATCTTTGACCTTGTTCTATTTAAAATGTTGTAAAGGACTTGGATGAAGATATAGACAGCATGTTCATCAAATGTATAGATAACTGAAAGCTAAGAAGAACAGCTAAAAGAATCAGGAACCAAAAAAAAAATTAGATTAGAACAGTGGGTCTAATCTAACAAGGTGACATTTAATCAGGATAAATGTAAAGTCCTTCATGTTCATTAAAAATTAATACTGCAAGTACAACATGGGAGAAATGTGGCTAGACATAAGTTCCTCTGAAAGCTAGGGGTTTTAGTAGACTTCAACCTTAATATAAACCAGCATTGCATAACAGCAACCAAAAAGAGCTATTGTGACCTTAGGCTACTTTTAAAAACACATAGTGTCCAAAATACTGAGAGGTCCATTGTAGTGGCCTCTTCCCTGGTCAGATGACATTGATATTGTGCACAGATCTAAGCTCATTTTAGTAAAGTCTAAAAAAATCTAGAGGAGGGGGCAATCAGGACTAAGAAGGGTCAAAATTGTGCCATATAAAGATAGGTTTGAGACAACTGGAGATGTGTGGTCTAAAGAAGAAACTCAATAGTAATCTTCAAGCATTTGAAGGGCTAAAAGAGGAACTAGATTTGTTCTTCTTGTTCTAAGAGGACAGAATTTGTAATAATGTGGAAATTACAGATAGATTTCACTTAATGTAAAACTTAACTTCCTTATAATTGGGAGAAATTCCACAAAAGTACAACGGACTACTTTGAAAGGCACTAGATTCTTCCTCATTTTAGGTCTTCAAGTGAAGCCTGGATGGATTTTTTTTTTTTTTTTGGTGTATGGTAGAGTGAATTCTTGTTCAGGCACAGGTTAGACCAGGTGGCCTCTTCCAACTCTGAGATTCTGAATCTAAGAGGCAGACTAATACATTAAATATAAAGTGAAAATGCAAATATATACAAAGTAGTTTGGGAGGGAGAGAACTAGCAGCTGGGGGATTAGGAAAGGCTTCGTGCAGAAGGTTGTACTTGGATTGCATATTAAAGAAAGGGAGGGACTCTATGAGGTGAAAATGATTGAGTGTATTACTGGCATATGAGACACCAGTTCAAAGGCATGGAGATGGGATATGGAATGTCATATGTGAAAATTAGAGAAAAGTCCAGTGTGGCTAAAGCATAAAGTGTGAAAGGGATAGTATTATCTAGTAAGGTTGGGAAGATAAGATTGGGGCTAGATGATTAAGAGCATTAAAAGCTAAACAGAAGAGTTTATATTTTATCCTAGAGGCGATAGGAAGTTATGGAAGTTGATTGAGTAGGGCATTGACATCTTCAGATCTGTACTCAAGGAAAATTTCTTTGACATCAGTAGAATGGAATGGAGAGAGACTTGAAGCAGGGAGACCAATTGAAAGGCTGTTGTAATAATCCAGATGAGAGATGATGTGGGCCTGAACAAAAGATGTAACTGCATGAGTAGAGAGCATCATATGCAAAAGAAGTTGCGGAAGCAGAAACAAGATTTGGCAACTGATTAGATGCATGAAGATCAGGGAGAATGAAAAGTGCAAGATAATGAAACGATTAGGAATCTGAGACACTAGAAGGGTGGTAGTGCCTTTGAAAGAAACACTGAAGTCTGGAAATGGAGAACATTTATAGGGAAAATATATTGAGTTCTGCTTTGAGCAAACTGAGTTGGACATATCTCTGGGACATACAGTTTGAAATGTCCAATAAATGATGATGGAGAATAGAAGTTCCAAGAAGAGTAAAGTTTTTGATTAATATTGAATTGTTCTTTGTGCCACTTTAACTCCTCATCTCACCAAAACATTTTTATTTTTACCTTCAATTGTTGATTAAAGGAATTTAGAATTTCTGATACATGTTTTCTTTCCAGATCCAATTCTTTATTTTTCTTTGTTTTGGTGCCTTTAATAGGGCAATATATTTTCCAGTTCTACCTCATATACCAAGTAGATATTAAAGTAAAGTTATTATTGTTGTTGTTGTTATATTTTTTAGCACTTCAAAAGATCTGTGGATTCACTGATGTGGATGCTTCCTGGTCCATTCAAGTTGCAACCTGTCCTTGCCAGAGTAGATAATCTTTATGACAAAAAAAAAACACAGCCCAAAATGATTATCATTAACCTTTTGTTGATGAGTTTCTCCAGATTCAACTAGGCTAGTTCTCATTAACAGACATTCAGTCTGTCACTTAACATATACTCAAAGCCACTTCAACTTGTTAGTTGCTCAACCAGAGTTTGCACTCCATTCACATAGTTTTCAAGAACCTAAGATCATCTTCACATTATATAATGAGAGATCAAAGTCAATATTAATGCTGGCTGCTAAAGAAGCCCAAGGCAGAGGACAAATAGAAATGGTTATGCTTCAATTTTCTGTTTCACAGGTTTGTCATAAGGGCCAAGGAATATTTTAAGAGCTCTGTAACACATTGTGATATACCAAGGAAGTCACAGTTTCCAGGCATAATAATTCATGGAAATCTATTGCTAGGTAAATATCCTTATCAGCAAAGTGTGAATTGGCTTAAACCATCTTCATTAGATTATACATTTATTCTGATGTACTAAAAAAAAAATGCACAAGGAACTGGTGCCACTTTGGCCGTTCGCTAGATACTTACATTTCCTTCTGGGTCAACTAAAAGAAGGTGCTTGACTTGGCCATTATGTATCCCTGTCAGGACATAGGATCCTGGATTGGTAGTGCTTTTTCTGACAAGGAAATCTCCATCTTTTTTTAGTAGCTGCTCTGCTTCTTTCCTGCTCATTTCTCCTTGATACCAAGGCTCTGCCTTCAACTCTTCCATCATTCTCCAGTCAGCTGCTCTGGATAAAATTGGACTTGTGTTTTCCACTGACATAGCTTTATTCAACAAAGGTTCCATGGTTTGGTTCCTGAGGGCATCTTCAAAAGGTCCTGGTAACAACAGTAAATACAAGCAATAAATCAATTAAAAGGAAAATACATGACAAAATCTCATCTATCTGATCAACTAAAAATAAGAGTTATAGTAAAATGGCTACTTTTTTTAAACTGGAGGTGTATTTAATTATTAATGCAAAAAAAATAATAAAGCCCAATTATAACATTGAGATGATGAACTTAAAGTCAGTAAGATATGGGTTCAAGTCCTGCTGTGATGTTTACTACCTCTGTAACCCTAGATGAGTCACTTCACTTTTAGACCTTAGTTACCTCATCTGCAAAAGGAGAAGGTTGGGCTTGATGGACTCTAAGATTCCTTTCAGATCTAAATCAATGATCCTATGATCACAGCCAATTTTTGTTATGCTTTTTTAAGAAATAACATTTTATAGAAAGAAATATTAGCCAACTGACCACTTGTCCAAGCTGAGATGCCATATATTGTACAGAGGGCCAGATGACTCTTTTTGCCTATTTAATTGGCTAGAACAGCTTCATTTTTCATACATTACATAGGCTCAGTAGTCATTCTTATTATACAGCTATCAACTTTCTTATAAACAAAATATTCATTTTAAAAGATCTGTTCTCCTATTAAATCCACTCAGGAAAACATGTTGTGTTCCCTGACTTTGAGTTCAGTTCCATATGTGGTATAAGTCCTTCCCTCATATTCATGTCAATCTCTTTTCACCAAAATTGCCTTTCAAGTAAATTCTAAAAGTTGCCTGTGTATTGGATCACTCTACATTTATCAGAGTGCTGCCCCAGGTCCCCCTTGAATCCCTCCAGGGAAGGGATGAAGTTGATGATGACTATGATAATGACAATGGCAATGATGACTGTGATGATGATTATAGATGGTGGTGTTGATAAGAGTGAATGAAGGAAAGATAAGCTTTGATTAAGTATCTGCCAGGTGCTATGCTATGGGTTGGGGTACAAACACAAAAAAGATAGTTCCTAAAATGAAGGTGCTTACTTTACACAACATATACAGGGCAATGGCAAACAGTGAAGTGTGAAGTCACAGCGTTAGCAAGTAGAGCCAAAGGGTAATGTGCTGATAAGCCCCTCCCAGAAATTATAGTAATATTGATTTTATTAGTTACTAGACCAAGTGGTAGAAAAAAGAGGGTAATACCCTCATAGCACAGCACGAAGATGATGACAAATAGATATGATAATGGACAATTCTTGATTATAAAATCATGAAAATATGTACAGTGTGATACAAATGTAAGATTACTTAGGCCAATTCCAAAACTAATATTATCCAGTTTATTGATATTGAGAGTGTGTATGAATAAAGGAAGAAGAACTTGTTCTCTTCTGACTTCCTGCCTTTGTGGCACTTCATTATTCATTATCAAATTCACCAGAAGATTGGCAAAGGAAAAGAAAAGAGATAGTACTGAAATTAGTCAGTCTTGATACTTTTTAATAAACCTTTGTTAAAAGAAAAAAGTTTGTGGATTTTAGAGTGAAGAAAAGATAAAATGTTTTCAAGCTACTCTTACCTGCGTTACTTTAGATTTACACTGTTTACTCAGCAACAGTAGCCTTTTTTTTATACCCAGTTGAATGTCAAAAAATTTGTGAGTGAACACGAGAGGGGCAGATGCTAAATCCTTTGTTGTGCTCTCCTACTTTATTGTGTTTTCCTCCTCTCTATCTCTAGGTGAGGAACACAGTTAAGATCAAACAGGTATTATTAAGAGAAGGGAAGAACCAGTTATTATTAAGAGAAATTTTTATTCCCTCCTTCAAGCCTTAGTCAAGGCTAATTCTTTACAGTCTCTGATCTCAGACATTATTTTGAATTTCCAAAACTTATTCACTTAGGAAAAAAGAAACATTTAACTGATAATTAGTAGTATGGGATGGAATTTGACTTATAATTTTGTTGTGTGAATTTTCTCTTGGTCTATTTGATTAGCCATTGCTAATACACCAGCACCATTCACAGAGAGATGAAAGTTGAAGTTTATTCATTGAGAGTGAGATATCAGCAGTTGAACATGTGTGTCCATCACAGTTCAACTAACAACATTTATATGTTACATGAGATGGGGTAAATGGCTGCTTCTTATAGTGAAACTGATTATACAAAGGAAAAAAAAGTATGCTTGTTAAGGAAAATGTATTTCACTTCTTATAGGAGATAGAGAAAAAATATATGTGTCCTTGTTAGTATAGTTAGTTACACTAAGTCAAAGAAGATCATATAGCCCTTATGAGACAAGAAAAGAAGGGGAGCCTACATCCTTGGGCTGTTGAAGTCCTTCTTTGTACTGAGTAAGTCTTCTTGTAACAATTAGGGGAGGGAAAAAACAGTGAAGGAAATCAACTCTTACAAGCTTATTCATTCAGGAATGATACATAACAAAAATGGCAAATACAGAACAAAATGGAGTTAGTTATGTCAGTTCTTATGTCAATCACTATTAGTTTATTTTTCTTAAGAAATTTCCTTTTAATGATTTTATTAGTATAAGAATTCTCAATGATGAAACTTCCTCTACTACTGTATGTCAGCAGATCCTAAATGCATTCACCTAATTGTTGTTGTTGAGTCATTTCAGTTATATTTAACTCTTTGTGACCTCATTTGGGGTTTTCTTGGCAAAGATACTGGGGTGGTTTGCCAATTCCTTCTCCAACCCATTTTAAAGATAAGGTACTAAGGCAAACAAGGTCAAGTGACTTGCCCAGGGCCACACAGCTAGTAAATGTCTGAGGGCATATTTGAACTCATGAAGGTGAGTCTTTCTAATTCCAAGCTCAGTGCTCTTTCCACTGGGCCACCTAAGTGCCCCTCATCCAATTATAATTGGAAATTATTACAAAACCTACAATGATAATACTGTACAGTAGTAAGAACATTGGACTAAGACTCTGCTACTAACTCTACAACATTAGACCAATCTTTTAACTGCATTGGGCTTCATATTTTGTTTATTTTTTTCATATAAAATGAGGAACTTAAACAAGATACAAAGAACTCAAAAGTTCATTCGGGCTCTAAATCTTTTGATCCTTATGATTTCTAAGGTTCTCTCCAGCTTTAAAATAATACATCTACATGTAAGGGTACTAAGCAGTATTTTAAGGTTGAGAATGAAGTAATTCCCATGAGAATCCAATCTGTTTTTAGAAAACAGACTAAGAAGGTGTGATTTTAATGTCAGTTTCATAGGAACTTAACCACAAGACTTATGCTATAAGAGGCCTTCCTTAGTGATCATCTAATACAACTGTCTCATTCTACTCATAAGGTGCCTGAGAAAAGTTAAGTAAGTTGCCTAAAGTCACAAAGATAAAAAGTAACAAACCTGTAATTTAAACACAAATCCTCTGATTAAAAATCCAGTGCTCATTCCTATTCTAGGCAAGTTCAACTCTATTCAATTAAGCAAAGATTTATTAAGTATACATTATGTACTAGGCTCTAATTATCTTCTGCTAGGTAAGCATTGTTGCTTCATCAGCTCTGATTTTCTTTTTTTTTTTTTCTCTCAGGTAAATGAACCAATACCACTGGGCCTCAGAATAATCTGTAGTTTGTATAGTAATGAATATGAAGATTTCTAAAAAAGTTAGCTTCAAGAAATTAAACCTTTCCTTCCCTGTTAACTACAGAGAATGATTATTTCTCATCCACAGCAGAAGATAGCCAGTTTGATGATAACTTCAAAGCTACTCCACTCATAACCTAGAAAATAACAAAGATTATTACCATATATCAAAACTCTATTAGCAAAGAATGAAATGAGATGTATAAATTTGACATGACAGCCTACACTAAAGCATTGCCGAAAAAAAATTTTAATAGGAACTTACTCATGTCAAATAAGTCTTTTCTCGGGCTGTTGTCTTTGATAGTGTCTACCGTTTCATTGAATACACTTTCACCATCAACCTGAAGGGCCCGCAAAACTTGAATATTTACACGTTGAGTATTCACATAGATTGGTGCCTCTCCTAGAGGAGTTACTTGGGATTTTCCTTCTGGCATATTATAGCTGTCCAAAGAACCTGTAAAAAAGCAAGAGAATATCTCTTTTGTCATTATTAGAATTATGGAGATGAAGGAATTTAGCTTGGGTTGCACAGAAAATTAATTTTAAAATTATATAAGTTTCTTGGACCTCACAATGAGAGAAATGGCTATACAGATTCTCTTTTTAAAATTTTATTTATTTTATTCTGAGCTTAAGAAATAAAACAAGCTTTTCCATAACACAGTAGAATAGAAAAAAAGATGATTGTACATGAAACCACAAATCTATTATGTACAACTTGCTATTTCTTTTAAATATATAATAAAATTATCATGTAACTCTCTTTTTTTCCTTTTTTCTCTTTGCTCTCACCCACCCTAGAGATGGCTACCATTAGGCACAAATATGTGTGTGTGTGTGTGTGTGTGTGTGTGCATACACAAAACCATCCTATACATAATTCTATTTATCAGTTCTTTTCTGGAGTTGGTGTTATGAAAAAAAAAACAATAAAATAGCTAAACCATTGATTAATTTGATTTAAAAAACAGAAAAGGTAGGGGCAGCTAGGTAGCACAGTGAACAGAGTTCTGGCCTTGGAGTCAGCAGGGCCTGAATTCAAATCTGGCCTCAGACACTTAACACTTACTAGCTGTGTGACCCTGGGCAAGTCACTTAACCCCGATTGCCTCACCAAAAAGCAAAACAAAAAACAAAAAACCACAGAAAAGGAAACCACATCACTAGCATTAAAAATGAAAAAGGTCACTAATGAAATTGAAGCAGTTATTTTGCCCAATTTTTTATTAGTAAATTTAATGATTTAAGTGAAATAGAACATTACAAAAATATAAATTGCCTAGATTAGCAGAAGAGGAAATAGAATATCTAAATACACCTATTTTAGAAAAAGAAATTGAACAGGCCATAAATCAGTTTTCTAAGAAAAAATGCACCAGGACCAGAAGGATTTACAAGTGAATTTTATCAAACATTTAAAGATCAACCAATTCTAATATTAAATAAATTACTTGGAGTAATAGGCAAAGAAGGTATCCTACCAAACTCCTTTCATGAAACAAATATGATACTGATACCTAAACCAGGAAGAGTAAAAACAGAGAAAGAAAATTATAGACAAATTTCATTAATGAATATAAATGCAAAAATCCTAAATAAAATACTAGCAAAAAGATTACAATATATTACAAAGATTATACATTCTGATCAAGCAGAATTTATATGAGGAATGAAGGGATGATTTAACATAAGGAAAACTAGTAACATAAGTGAATATATCAATAATAAAACTAAAAAACTCATATGATTACACCAATAGATGCAGAAAAATTTTTTGATAAAGTACAACATTCATTTCTATTAAAAACACTTGAAAGTATAGGTATAAATGGATTTTGCCTTAAATTGATCAAAAATATTTACCTAAAACCATCAGCTAACATTATTTATAATGGGGATAAGCTAGAAGTCTTCCCTGTAACGTCAAGGGTGAAACTAGGATGCCCACTGTCACCAATATTATTCAATATTATATTTGAAATCCTAGCAATAGCAATGAGAAGAAAAAGAAACAGAAGGAATCAGAATAGGGAATGAGGTAATAAAACTATCTCTTTTTGCAGGCAATACAATGATACACTTGAAAGATCCCAAAGACTCAACCAAAAACTTAGCTGAAACAATAATTATAGCAAAGAAGCAGGATACAAAGTAAATCCACAAAAATTATCAGCATTCCTATATATCACAAAGAAAACCCTATAAGAAGAGATAGTTAAAGATAGCTCATTTAAAATAACTTTAGACAGTATAAAATAGTTGGGGGTATACCTATCAAAACAAACCCAGGAACTATATGAACAAAATTATAAAAATATTTTATACAAATAAAATCAGATGTAAATAATTGGAGAAATATTAATTGTACATGGATGGTCTATATAGATTCTTATTCTTCCCTTTGGGATTCTGAAGGCCACAGCAATAGGAATGTTACATGGATTCCAACTGAGGCGCTTTCTCTTGTGTCTCACTAAGGAACACAGGGGAATGACAAAAATCCCTTTGGCTCTCTGAGAATTTCTGAGAAGCACCTTCTCTCCTGCCTAACCAGCGTAAGATGGATATTTTTATAGAGAGGTTTCTCTTACCCTTCCTTCCATTAAAGTATTTCTTTACAAAGGAGGGGTTCTTCAAATTCATAATAAATATGTATGTTTGAAGTACTTTTTCACTGAAAAACTCAAAGCACATAATTTATCTCATTTATTCTACCAACAACCCTGTAGGATAGACAGCTTGACATTGCATGCATTTTATTGATATAGCACCAAAGGTAGCAAGATGCTAAATATCACATATAAAACTGACAATCTACCCAATACTGATTTTATACCATTAATTACCTATCTGAAAGTTATGTCATAAAGACATTCAAATTTTTTTTAACAAAGTGAAGTCTAATTTAGCATGCTTGTCCAGTCATCTGTATGCATGTTTTAAGTATATAATGGTGCATTCTAGGAAAAAAAAGGAATCATTCTGTTGTATCCCAGACTCATATAATAGATTCATAATACATAGCTATTCAATACTTTATGTGCTTCAATTGTACAAGTTATGTTTCCAATGAATTTAAATATTATGCCAAGAAAATTGCACCACTGATGTTAAAAATTGTTGCTTTGTATTTTTTGTATTTTTGTACTTTTACACAAATAAAACAAATGTAGCCAAGATCAGAAGGAAAGTAGAAAATTTGGAATAAATTTTATAGACAGTTTCTCAGATAAAAGTCTCATATCTCAAATATATAAAGAACTTTATCAAATCTATAAGAAGGCAAGTCATTCCCTAATTGATAAATGGTCAAAGGATATGAATAGGGCAGTTTTTAGATAAAGAAATAAAACAATTTATATTCACATAAAATATTCAAATCATTATTGATTAGAGAAATGCAAATTAAAACCTTAAGATATCATATTACACCTATCATATTGGCTAAAATGATTGAAGGGGAAAGTTACAAATGTTGGAGGGGATGTGATGTGAAAAACTGGGACACTAATTCACTGTTGGTGGAATTGTGAACTTATCCAACCATTTTGGAGAGCAATCTGGAATTATGCTGAAAGAGTTATTAAACTATCTGTACCCTTTGATCCAGCAATAGCACTACTAGGTCTATTTCCAAAGATGATTAGGGAAAAAAGGAAAAGAATCTCTATGTTCTAAAATATTTATGGTAGTTCTTTTTATAGTGGCAAAGAACTGGAAATCACAGGGATGCCCATCAATTGGAGAATGGCTGAACAAGTTGTGGTATATGATTGTGATGTAATACTACTATGCTATAGGAAATTATGAGCTCAATAATCTTAGAAAAACATGGAAAGACTTGTATGAAATAAGGAACACATGAGCAAAACCAAGAGAACATTGTATATAATAATGATAATGTTGTTTTAAGAACAACTTTGAACAAATAAATCATTTTGACTATTCCAAATACCCAAATTAGCTACAAAGGACAGATGAGGAAGACACTATCTGCATCCAGAGAAAGAACTGATATATAGAAGTATATATAGAACGGTTTTACACACACACACACACACACACACACACACACACACATACATACATAATATACTAATATTACTATATTACCATATACTAATGGTAACAATCTGTAGGGTAGGGGAGGGAGAAGAAAAATATTTATATGATAACTTCATTATATATTTAAAAGGAATAGCAAGTTGTACATAACAGATTTGCAGTTTCATGTGCAATATTTTTTTATTATACTATGTTACAGAAATACTTATTTTATTCCATAAATTTAAAAAAACTATTTTGATTTTAAAAAGTTATCTTTACAGAAAAAATGCTTTGAAGAACATTAATAAATTAATATGATATAGATGTAGTTGTGAAAATGCATATGTCAAAAGCAAAGGTGAGAAATATTCACATAATGAAAGAACAATTAGCAAATTTATTGGTTGTCTTACTATTTGTGTTATTCTTTCTTGAAATATCACATTGGTCCAAATATAGGTTATCCCTGAATAAAATTCATTTGAATTTCATATTTTTTGAAATGTAAGGGGTGGGGGAAGTAACCCTTAGAGTTAAGAAGACATGCATTCAAGTCCTGCTTCTGACACGTCCTAGCTGACCATGAGCAGATATGTCATTTAACCGTTCAGTGCCCTGGACAACTTTGTAAGAATAACTTACAAATGATTTGCCTATCTGCACCATTAGAGGGAACTTCACACAAGTTGCCCAACACTCATAAATCCTGAAATCACAAATGCAGACCAAAAAAAAAAAAAGAATTATAAAAAAATTATATTAAAGAATATATATATGTATGTATGTATGTAGTGTGTGTATATACATACATGCTGTGAATGGCTTTGGCAATTTTGTTTTTTAATATTTATTTCAATTTAAATACTTCAACCCTAAGGGTCCATGTGGGTATTATCTACTCCAGCCATGCAGACAGAAAATCTAAGACTTAATTGACAGCTTTAGAGAGTTGTGGCCAAAAAAACCATTACCCTTCGGCCAACCTAAAGATGAACTTCTCCAAATTTATCTAATCTGAGTCCTTGAATGTCGTTCAAGAACTGAAGGACATTCCTTGAGTGTATGATTTAGAATCTACTACCAGACTCGTACTTGAAGACTTTCTAGTTTGTTAGGATCTTTGCAGAGTTTGTACTTTGGGGACCCAGGGTCACTTCCACATCATGATGTTGCATTGTAGTGGGATTTAAGTGGAGAGCCAATTCAAATATTCACTTCTTATCATTACTATCTTTCCCTTCTTCCGTATCCTCCTACAACATTTTATTGTTGCTACCATCCACTTATATGAAGATCATGATGATAAGCATGATTTTGTACAATCATATGTTGTACAAACTAGGCATGGGGGAATAGGAATGCTCTTCCAAACAAACAGAATGCTATTCAGACCAAATTATTATCTGC